TTTATTTTGAAAGAGAAAATTTACATGAATAATATGATTATTCATGCATTATCACGTGAATAGTAAAACTATTCATCCACTAGTTCATATCAGCTACTTTATGTAAATAGTATAACTATTCACATTATTCACGTTATCAAAAATATATTATAGTTCTATTCATAACTGAATACTATTCACAACTCGATATTGTTCACCAATTAGGTATTGTTCATTAAAGTTTTATATTCCAACTCAGGATACGGTTGATAGATCCAATCACAACAAGAGATTTCAAGTTCTAATATAGGAATTCAATAAGTTCATCCCACTATTTAATATATGCTATTTTTTTGGGTTGGCCTCGACTCTCCTTTAAGAGATCATGAACCCATGGAACTTTGTAACTTATGCTCACTCGGGTTTAATTTCATTGTGTAGCTAGCTGATATCTCAAATGATTAGTCTATGTCCATAAACCTCTATCTTCTTACTATTTATTATCATATCGTTCACATAACCCTCAACTGTCTTTCCAATTCAGTCCTTGACCAATCTTTGGTATATGGCCTTAGCACTTTTGAGGTCTAACGACATGACTTGGTAACAATATGTTCCTCTATCGATAACGATGACATTGGATATAAATGTGAGAGTTAGTCAGCTTATTCTTCATCATCCCATTGAGATGGAATTCAGAACTGATTGATTTAATATTTATTCCTCATTTGGCATCTTTGATTTATTTTATTTTGTTGAGTACTTGACGAGACAAGGACAAAATAATCTGGAATTTAAATAGTGATGGTAGAAATTCTGTAGAGAGTGGATAACATTTCGTTATTGAACAATGCTAGACAAGGGAGGAGGTTTTTTCCTCAGTGTCCATTAGTTTTGTTCTATGCAAAAATTATGGAATCAAAATATCCCACCAAAGTAAAGCACTTCGTATATGGAGTCTGCAAATACCAGCTCTCAATATCATATGCTTTGATTAAAATAGGTATGTCTGTTGATTCAGTTTGCAAAAGTTATGGTAATGGAGTAGAATCTAGTATCCATGTTTTCAAAAATTGGTTCTTGGTTCAAAGAGCATGGTTATTTAGTCCGTTTAGTTTGATAACTACAAATTTGATTTTTTTTTTCATCTTTTATTGAATGGTTTGAAGTGTTAATTGGGCATAAGGCTTCATGGTAACCAACGGCAATGTGGTGAGCATCTCTTAGCCAGCAATTGCAATTTTCATGGTAAAAAGGAAGACATTATTCAAGGCTCAGGATTTGTGGGACTTGGTTGAGAATGGATTTACTGATCCAGATGAGGAGTCCAGGCTGAGAGAGAACAAGAAGAAAGATTCGAAAGCATTATTCTTCATTCAACAAGTAGTACATGAGTCCACTTTCTCAAAAATGGCAGTAACAACTATTGCAAGAAAAGCTTGGACTACTTTGTAGATAACCTACCAAGGATCTTTAAGGTAATCACAGTGAAACTTCAAACTCTTCGCCGAGAGTTTGAAACCTTACATATGAAAAATGGAGAATCAGTGCAAGAGTTTTTGTCTAAAGTAGCCATAGTTGTAAATCAGATGAGGTGATGTGTAGAATAAGTCTCTGATCAAGCTGTGGTTGTAAAAAGTGCTGCGAAGTTTGAATCCAAAGTTTGATCATGTAGTAGCAACCATAGAAGAATCCAAAGACATGACAATTTACTCATTTGATGAAATAATGGGGTCACTGCAGTTCCATGAGGTTAGGCTGAATAGGTCAGATGAGAAGAATGAAGAAAGGGCTTTTCACATGAAAGGGGAGGCATCACATAAGAAAAATGAACAAACAGAAGCAAGCAGAGGTGGATCCCCTGCCAAAGGTGGATTCTGCGGAAGAGTTTGTTATGGTAGAGGATGAGGAAGAAGTGTTGAGCACCAAAATCAAACATTGCAACAAAAAGGCAACAATAATGGGGTTAAATGCTACTATTGTAAGCAGTTTGAGCATATAAAAGTTGATTATTGGAAAAAGAAAGAAACAAGATCGAGCAAGATATGTTTATCAAGAAGAGGAGGAGCTCAAACTTTTCATGGCCCAGCAAGAGGAAATTATTTGACAATAGTATCTAGTTTCTGGACAATAAATGTTCTAATAACATGACATGTGCACGATCACTATTTAAGGAACTTGATGACACCTTTAAACAAAAAGTAGCACTTAGAGACAACAACAAGATACAGGTGGAAGGCAAACGTACTCTGACAATAAAGGCAATCATGGTAATGTAAAGCTTCTCTATGATGTCTTTTACATTCTTATTCCATCACAGAATTTGTTGAGTGTTGGGCAACTCATGGATATGGGATACTCTATCATGTTTGATGATGGGTCTTATGGGATTAGAGATAAAAAATCAGATCAGATTATAGTTAATGTTCCAGTGACACCAAATGAAATTGTTCCCGTTTTGAAATTTCTAATGTTGAAAACCATGCACTAGTTGTCAAAGGGTCTAGTTGAGTTAAGATTATGACATTTATGGTATGTGCATTTGAATGTAAAAGGTCTGAAATTGTTGAGCCAAAAGGAAATGGTTTATGAGCTGCCTAAAATTGAAACTTTAGATATATGCGAAGGGTGTGTATATGGGAAACAATTTAAAAAACCATTTCTTGTAGGGAAGTCGAAAAGGGCATCTAGTTGTCTTGAGCTTATGCATGCTGACTTGGTTGGTCCCATGAAAACACCATCTTTTGGTGGGAGTAGATATTTTTCATTATTCATAGATGACTATAGCCGAATGAGCTAGGTGTATTTTCTGCAATCCAAGTCGGAAACATTTGAAAATTTTAAGAAGTTTAAGACACTTCTGGAGAAGCAAATTGGAAGTTGCATCAAGGCACTTCATACAGATAGAGATGGTGAGTTTATATCATGGGAATTCAATAAATTTTGTGAAGAACAAGGCCTACAAAGAGAACTAACTGCTCCTTACACCCCGGAGCAGAATGATGTTGTTGAATGTAAGAATTGGACAGCATGAAATGGTGAGAAGTTTACTAAAAGCTAGAGGACTTCCAAATCAATTTTGGGCAGAAGCGGTAGCAATGGCAGTGTACTTCCTCAATATATCACCAACAAAGGCTAATTTGAATCAAATACCATATGACGCTTATTGTAGGAGGAAACCTTGGGTAAGTCATTTAAAGGTGTATTTTTGTATGCTGCAGGTTTGAAGGACAGAAGAAGCACATCTGGTTATATTTATTCTTGGATCACCTGCTGTTTTTTGGAGTTCTAAGAAGCAATCAACAACAACCTTATCAACATCAGAAGTTGAATATGCAGTGGCAACTTCATTTGCATGTCAAGCCATTTGATTAAGAAGAATTTTGGCAGACATTCATCAAGAACAAAGGGGAGCAACTGAGATTTATTGTGATAATAAAGCTACGATTGCTATGATAAAAAACCCAGCCTACCATGGAAGAACGAAGCATATTGACATTCGGGTTCATTTCATTCAAGACCTTGTGTTAGATAATTCAATTATCTTGAAGTACTGAGTACAACTGAACAATTAGTAGATATTCTAACAAAGTCACTTCCCAGAGACAAACATGTCTATTATTCAGACTTCAACTTGGTGTTTGCAACTTTGAATCAAAGGGGAGTATTGGAGAACGATTCAAAATCAGTTACCAAAATTTTAGAGTTTGACTGAGTTGCACGTTTTTGTTTATTCCATGATTTTCTGTTTTTAGTTTCAGTAGTGCCAGAGTTTATGCTGCTATTTTTTCGTTGTTTTTATTAATGTAAAGCCTATTTATAGCTAGTTGTTTACTTCAATTTACACCAAGTCAATAATATAACAACTTGAGTCTACTGCTTAATCTTCACCATCTATTTGATAAAAGTCTTGTGTGGCTCTGTTTTTTTATTTACTATAGATTTCCAACATTCAATTCCTCGATTTTTGAGTTTTACTCATTGCTAATGGTGCAACATTTTAATTCTCAACATTACTCGAAAAAAGATTTTATTACTTGTCTACTGATATTGAATTCGTTAGTAATTTAATGAATTTTCAATGTGTTCATGTTTGTGGAAGTAACAACTAGGTAGCTCATAAGCTATCAAAGTTAGTTTATTATAATTTGTTAAGAGAATACATTTAGATAGAGGAGATCCTTCTTTATATTTTATGTTTTTGTTTTTACTCATTTTGTTTCTTTAAATTAATAAAGTTCTCCTTTATTCTTAAAAAAAAAAAAAAAAGATTGAAATTGATTGTTCTACATTGGGTAATTCAGCTATCAAAATTATAGTTAGATGGCAAAATGAAAGTAAGGCCATTATTTTATCTATTTATTATGTATAATTAATATTTTTAAAATTATAATATATTTAATAAAATAATAAATATTTTTATTGCTTTGATTTATATTTGGTTTAATCATATGAACGCGTAATACTAAAAATAATATAAAATATATAATATTCAAAAATATTGTTAAAATTATTTTAAAATTTGATAGTATTTATTTATACAAAAAAAATTAAACTTTTGGATTCAAAAGTGACAAATTGTAGCTTCTTGCTAAAACACTTAACTCTGCAGCTAAATGTTGAGTTGTAATTTTATTCTACTAAGTATTTTGTGTTGTCGTTTGGATGCTCAATTCGCCGTTGGCTTTAAAAATATAGACAAACGAACACAAAATCAAAATGTTAAATATCCCCAAAATGTAAAGAAATGTCTCTCTACACTGTCATGTGAACATGTTTTAAGCATGCTGTAGTTTTGCGTTTCAGCAAAATGCAAAGGATGTTCAACAGTCAAGAAGACACCTAATTAAAACTCTCCTCTATCCCTGTTTTATTGGTGGTTTTAGAGTTTTTAAAATTCTCCAGGCTTTCCTTCTTCTGGGTTAGGCTCAGAGAAAAAAAAAAAAAAAAAAAAAAAAAAAAAAAAAAAAAAAAAAAACACAGCAGTAATTGCATTACTTGCAGTTGCAATGAATAAAAAAAAAAAAAAAAAAAAAAAAAAAACACAGCAGTAATTGCATTACTTGCAAAGTTGCAATGAATACAAGTCAAGGAAATGCAGAGACAACGACAACCAAAAGAAAGAGGAAAAGTAGACTAATAGAAGGAGGGAGGAGAATAACAAGGCTTCAAGCCAAGATCAATGATCTTCCTCAAGAGTCCTTCACCGCCACAAGCCCCACTCCTAAGGTAACAAGAAAAAGAAAAAAGAATCAATATTTACACTCTTTTAGTGCTTCAAAATGGGACCTTTTTATTTTTTTGTGTTGAGATGCAAAATGATGGGAAAAATGATATAAAAATTCCTCCTTTTCTTTCTTTATTTAGTAACTTTTACCCATTTTGCTTGTTGGTACAAGAGAGAAGGAACCATTTACCTTTACACAAATTGACCTTTACACAAAGTTTCTTTACAATTTTCTTTTTCTTAAATTCCTTCCAGTGTTTGGTTTCTAAGAAAATGTTATCAAGAGAACTGAATGTTACGTATTATATGTGCTTAATCTTTTACAACGTTCATGGTCAAGAAGAGGTTTTGACTTTGTACTTTATAGTTTTATTAAAAAAAAATTGCAACAACTTAATATGAAAACTTTTCTTGCGTTTGGATTGTGGGTTTTTAGCTACTAGAATGATATGTAACTGCTTCAAAATGGAAGCTTTTTTAGATTTTTCGGTGTTGAGAAAATAAGAAGCAAATATTTGGAGAAAATTACCAAAAAATTCCCTCCTTCATTGTTCTCTGGTAACTTCACCCATTTTTCTTCTTTGGGTACTAGAGTAAAACAACCCTTTGCTATCCTCAAGTATGCTTTTGATTTTATTTTATTTTTATTTTCTTTGTTCCCCTGTTTGGTCTCTGAGAAAATATCAGAAAGTATGAGAAATGAATTGAAGTCACATAATCATAGAAGGCTCCATCTATGGATGTCCCTGATTGGTGCCCTTCAGCAGGTTAACAATTTTAAAGGGTCTTATTTGTGTTTATTTTCCTTTTATTTTAACTTCCAACAACTTGATTTTAGAGAACTAACATTTTTACATTAGCATTTACATTTTCATGCTCCAACTAAACAACAAGTCGGTAAGGTGATTCTATTTATTGTATGTTCTTTCGATGCTAAGTGGATATTTAAAATAAACCATTATGCTTAATGTTTATCTCTGCTGAAAGAATCCTTGCCCATTTTAATACTGAGTTGCATCTTTTCTGATATGCTTATAGCTAACTGGTACTTGGTAATTTCCTTGGGTTTATCTGATATGTGTCTCTTGGTAATGAAGTAGATGATATGCATCATCTCACATCGAGCAAGCATCAATAGGCGATAGTGAGAAGCTTATATGACGAGTATATGGATATATAATTTACAGTTAACTTAGATGTCTTGATTTTCAATTATCAGGTTAATGAACTGTTACTGGTTAAACAGGTGTTGTCTCGGGAACCTGCATCCTACCCAGTTTCCTGTGAATACTTGAGCCCAGATGCTAAAATTCTCCTCAAATATGGCAGATTCTCAAGATCAGCAAAGAGGTTTGAAGAACCAGAAAATGCTAGTGGACCAAGGCCAGAAATACCTACGAATGAATATGATGAATTAGAAGGCCACTCGAGTAGCGACTATTCTCCACCAAGTCAGGCTGTAATTGATAATATCCTTGAATCTGTAGGTTATTGATTTTGTAAATAACAAAGAAAACATTTGCATATGCATGCATTCACCATTTTAATGAAGAAACCATATTGCTTTTTCTTTCTACCCTTTTCCAAGAATTAACAGATTTATTTTACAATTGTATTCGAGTTGTTTGTGCAGTTATCTCCAAGGCAATTAGGTTCTGCAAGTTTCTCAGCAGGAGCCCAAAGAGAACATGTGAAACTTCCCCCAAATTTGAGTCAGGCAATGGTGAGTAGTAAAACTCGAGAATCCAGGGACATTCTGCTGGCAGAGGTACCTCAAATTGAAAGAGAAAGAAATGATCCCGCTTCTATTCCTTTGGTTGCTAACACTTTTTCAACTTGGGAATATGCAATGGCATTGAATGTGGGTGAAGAAATGCTAGACAAGAATGCAAATCCTAACTCAACGAGTGGTCACTTCAACCAAACTGTCAGTTTTGGCTTGTCAGAAATGGTCGGTATGTGGGGTGAGAATGATTCTGATCTAGATGTGGAAGCATCTTCTGCTTAGCCCTTGGTCACCATCTTGGGATATAGAGTGAAGGAAGCATTCGCGCCTACAGTTAGGAATATTGTTAAGAAGTATGGAGATATAGCTGCAAATTGTTTTATGAAAACACCAGAAGGTCGTTCCTTGGCATTGGAGAATCTTTCTGAATTCATCCAAACATTTCAAACAAAAAAATTTTGTGAGCTTCCTCAACTTGAAATCGAAAAGGCACTAGCTCTTGTTCATGATTTCAGAACTGCAGGTTTGGAAGTTGACTGGCTGCAGCCAAGGTTGAAAGACATGTTGGAAGCAAAACAGTTGATCAAGCAATCTTCAACTTTGAAGGAGAGGAGGGATAAAAGTAATCAAGTCATCAAGGAGAAGAAGGAAGAGCTAGAAGTTTATGAACCACAACTATTGGCACTTCAAGAAAAAGTGAATTTGGCAAAGAAGAAACTGGCTTCAGCACAAGCTGAGGCTGAAACTATAAGAGAAAAAGTCTCAAATGCTAAGGCTAAAGTGAGATTCTTTGTTGATCATTCACCATTGGATGGTCTCTTGTGATTTACATCTTTGCTTTTATACACGCACACTAGTAAAACATCCATAGTTACGTACTTTGTGATGAACTTGAGATGCACTTCTAATTGGTATATTTCTATTAACAAGTTTTAGTTTGCCTGGATTTGTTATATGGTTAACTTTTATAGTATTCTCTCTTCTTGCAAGCATGGTACTAGTATTATGATTCAAAATGTAGATATTTTCTTGATCAAAATTCTATACTGTTTCCAAGTCTTGTATTGTTAAGTTGCTGCCAATTTTCTTACAAAGGTCTGTAGTTTTTATCATAGGGCTTAAGGCAGGGTGTAGCTCTTCCCTTGGTGGATTTCAAACACACTTCTAGCTTATCTCTCAGTTAGAAAATAATTCATTTCAAGTTCAAGTTTTAACCTTAACAGAGATTATGAATCATTTTCTATTCTAAGAGAACATGTCTTTTTTGCTAATTTTCACTTCACTCACATAATTTCAATTTTATGAATTTAACATAACCATACACAACTCCACAGTTCATTTCATTTATAAGGTTGTAAATTGCCAGACAAACTGTGATTACTAGCAGAAAATAATATCAACCTTTCAGCTATTTGTGAAAATAATTACTGAAATTCCATTACTAGACAGCAGAAGAGGCTGCAGAATTCCACCATTTTGATATCAGAGTAACATTTGCATACCTAGTGGCAGGCAACAGCAAAATGGCGAATCTGAATTTCTCTTTATAGTAAGCCTATAAAGAACATATAGACATTATAAAATCAAACACAATTCCTTGGCGTATCAATTACTTTTAGACTATTAAAAACCAGGAAACCCAGTTACTTATTAATTTACCAATCTTAATCATTGACTTGGCAAACTTCTCAAAGAAAAGCATTTTGTTCTCTGTATATTTCTTCGCAAGTTCCATGGATGCTTCATTCTTTTTCAGGAGAAATTCCGGTCCCTGACTGGTTGCACTGCCTCTGTCTAAAGCTGGTGCATCTAACATTTCTATTTTGTGGCTTCCTGCCAGAATTTCGAGAAACGTTTATCAGGTTTGCTCTTAAAAAAAAGAACACGAATCAAAATAAACTGATTTTTAAGAAACCCAAACAGAACTCAACCAGATTTTATACAAAATCGAACCGAACAGAAACCTGAAATTCTAGCACAGGAACTTTTGCAACCAATGTTGTATATTTTTCCATTTTTCATATTCTGTATTTAAAAAATCATATTTATGTATTGGCATTAAATATATGCATGGTTATTATTACATTTTTTTTCAATGTTTCTCTAAACAATCTCTAAACAATCTGATTAAAACTGTTGATTTTTTTTTTTTTTTACCAGATAGTGCGACAAGATCAACAACATTAAGACCCCGAAGCTTGATTTTAGTAAGAAATCTGAAATGTGTTGATTGGAGCAGGATGTTATAGTTAGATCCACTCAAGCTTGCTCTTCCGTTTTGTTTTCCCTTTTCTTTAGTACGTAAGGGGAACTAAAGCTCAAAGGGCACAATTAGACTAGACAAGTACCAGAAAATGCTACACCACTTGTATAGGGCGGAATGCATAAATTTACTTGGAAACTTTGCTATTTTTAATCTTGTGACACTCTGAATTTTACTGATGACCTATCATGCACTTGAACTTGTAAATCTAAGTAACATTGCACACATTTCGAGACTAATATCAATATTTTTTAAGATTTTTCACTTTTATCTATAAAATATCGACTTAATGTGTAATTAACATGACTTTTGAAACAATAATTTTTATTAATTTCAACTTTTTAATGAATGTTTAATTGTTCTAATTTTGCAAGTTGAAATATTCAGTAAAATAAATTTAAAAATTAAAGAGTTTTTTTTTTTTTTAAAAAAAAGAAAATACTTCATTAAGAGATAATTTAAGAGACAATAAACAGTTTGGAATAATATCCCAAACATAGAAACTAGCATCAAGGCAGGAGGCTTTTTCAAGATAACGAGCTCCCACATTGGCTTGTCTCTGAATCCGACGAATTCTAATATCATTTCTAGACTGAGAATCAATCGACAGTCTTGTACAAGTAAACCAACATCTGAAAAATCCATAGAAAATGAATTCAATGCATAAACTAATTGTTCGTTGTCAGAATAGATAACACCCACAACCATTGGTATTCACTTCTGCCCATTCTAATGTCCTCCTTAATGCTAAAGCTTCAACCACAGTTGCATTTAAATGGGTATTGGAATGCCTGATATAGCTAGAATAAAATAGCACTTATGGTCCTCAAAGTAGACTTGGCCACGGTTCCGGAACCGGCGGTTCCGGTTTGGAACCGTCCGGTTCCGGTTCTGGTTCCGATCCGATTACAAAACCGACGGTTCCGATCGATTTTCTCCGGTTCTGGTTCCCGATCCGATTACAAACCGACGGTTCCGATCGATTTCCGGGCGAATCGCCATAATTTTTAAATTTAAATTTTTGAAGGCACGTTTAAAAAAAAAAATTATTTGAACGTAAAAAATAAAAAATACACCTAAAAATTTTAAAATTTGAAGACCCGGTTAAAAAAAAAATTATTTGAAATAAAAAAATTAAAAAATACATTTAAAAAAATTTTAAATTTTGAAGACCGTTTTAAAAAAAATTATTGAACAATTAAAAAATTAAAATACACCTAAAAATTAAAAAAAAATACTTCAATTTAAATTTATTTTTTTAAGGACTCGGAATTGTTTGAGTGTTGAACAAATTATCTTTTTTTTAAAAAAAAATTTCAATGATTTTTTTTTTTAAAGTTTGAAATAATTTTAAAAAAAAATATGGGCTTGAAACTTAATTTTTTTTTTTGGTTTTAAAAAAAAATTAAGTTGCCTACCATATTTCCTCTTAGTTTAGAAGAATCAAAGTCCACGTAGTTGTCTACTTTACCTTATACTAATTTCCCCCTTTTACCTTAATCGCTATTTGCACCACCGGGTTTGATGTTCCTATGAGGACCCATCGTATAAATCAAATAAATTCTTCATTTTCTTTTGGATTTTCTTGGGCTCTTAGTTCGGCTTTGGTTCCAATCATCCACGGCACGGCTTGTGCTTCTAATTGGAATCGGGTGTTCATACGGAGATCGTGTTTCATCAAGTATGTTCTTCCTTGGACTAAAAGCTTGTTCAACCGCAACAACAGTGGAGACCGGAGCTACTAAAATTTGTTTTGCAAGTAAAGAAAGAATTGAAAAAGTATTTGCGTGACGACTCCACCAATCTAAAATTGGAAAATCTGCATCAGCATAATCATCGCATAATCATCACCAAACTCAAAAGAAGTGGTTAGATAATTATCAAATTCAGAAAAAGAACTGGGTTCCCTTTGTCTTTTTTGTCTTTGTAGTAAAACGATTCAGCAACACCAACCCTACTAGTACTTATCCTTTGAGTTGGAAATTGTTGAATATTAAATTGAGAAGAATTCGAATTAGAACTAGATGAACTAGAAAATTCAACAAATTCATGATATAATTATATAATATTTTGTCTAACTTCATACAATACTACATTTACATTAACACTATCTTATATCTCAAGATTTAATAATTCATAACAACTAGTCAAATATTCACATAAAACATAAATTTTATATCTAGGATCAAATACAATAGCAACAAGATAAAGGGGTGATATATTTTTAAAATAAGATAACTATTTTTTTTTCATTGAAAAAACACACTCTTTTAATACAAAATCATTTTCAAATTCTTGGAATGCACTAACAATATTAATACACATAGATAAAAATAAATGAGACGTGGGATAATAAACCCACTAAATTTATAGGTTGCATCATTAAAAACTTATAAAATATCTAAAATTTTTGCACAAATATCCCAATTTTGTGGATATAAATTAAGTTCTTCAATATTATTAGCAACAAAAATGCACAATAATTCTTTATAGACTCGTTTTAGTAATTTCATATGTTTGAATTCCAACGAGTTGGGACATCCCTTGGAAAACGTTTTGGTCTTTATTTATTTTCTTTATAAAATTTAGCCCAACTTTTCATTCGCTTTGGCGGATGTGCCATAAATATGAAATAGGTTTTTTTAATTGGAGAAATAAAAGAATCAAAAATTTTTAAAACCATCTTGACACATAACATTAAAACATTGGGCCTATTGCACATCTTATATGAAAAAATTTACCACCAATAATTTTGGTTCACAAATTTTTTTAAGGTTCAATAATTGATCTAGTTATTTGCAGAAGCATTATCAAATTGAAAATTGAAAAAATTTTTTTGTAACTTATATTCATCTAAAATTGAAACAATTACTCTATAAATATTTATTTGCAGTATGTTGTTTCATCAAAAACACAAAAAACAATTAATTCTTTTTTGAATTTTCCAATCATTCATAATCCAAATGACATGTTAATACCCATATATGAATGCATGTGCCAAATGATTCACTCCAAAACATCACAACAAATTTGAAACACGAATTTTCAATTAGAAAATAAAAGCTCTAACTCTTTTTTCCTTTATTATATAAAGGAAAATAATAGTTCGTTTTACAGTATTTCTGGGTTTACTCTTATTTAGCCAAAGGAATTTAAAGCTTTTTGACAATAATTATTAAAACCTACTTTTCACCAACTAAAAGAATTTAAAAATGTTCCATAGAATTCATTTTTAATCATTTTTGCTAATTCTTCTTTTTATATTTTTTCAGAATATTTAAATAAAGAAAGGTTAGAAGCGTACCCGGAAATTTGTTGTTGAGACCGATCAACTACTATTTTTGTTGGATGTTTTGCCTCCAAATGCTTCCAAAATGATCCATAGCCGTCCGCTTATTTAAATTTATAAGATTTTCCACAATAATTGCATAATTGCAAATTATATCGTACATTTTCTCACCTTTGAATTTTTTTGTGAAATGAATGGAGAATATGTCGGAACTTTATCTTGCTCTTGTAACAATTTTTGCTCGTAGCTCTTGCTCTTGCTCTTCATCTTCTTAAAATTGCTCATTAAATTCGGATTCTTGAGTTGGAATATCCAAATTTTCATTTGGAAAACCCTCAAAATTACATTGGTCGGGAATCATATCATAGATGTCGTTTGTAGGGATAGATGATTCTCCAATTTTTCCCTTGCCCTTACCCGAATTTGAGTTTCCTCCACTTTTATATGATAATTAAAATATAATTTGGAAAATTGAATAAAAAAAATTAAGAGAGAATAATTACTTAATAAAGAGAGATTGTAGAGTAGAGAAGAATAAATAGAATAATATAGAGGTAGAGTGTAGTAATTGTAGAGAGAGTAAGTTAGAGAGAGTTGAGATTTTTTTGTAATGAATTTTGTAAAATAAAATTGAGGTTATTATATAAGTATTTATAATAAATCCAAAAATTCATTTTTCCAAAAATACCTTGAAACTAGCCGTTATGTAGCCGTTTATGGCTGTTGAGAGGGGTAATTAAGACATTTCACAACAAATTAAAAAAAAAAAAACAGCAGGTCTGACAGTTACAATGGCTACCGGCGGTTCTAACCGGACGGAGAACCGGCGGTTCCAATCCGGTTCCGATCGGTTCTCTGGAACTGCCGGTTCTGGTTCCTTAGAACCGAACCGGATTTTTCCGGTTTCGGTTTCGGTTCGTCCCGGTTCCGGTTCTCACCGGTTCCGATTACGGTTCCGGGCCGGTTCTAACCGACGGTTCCGGTTCCCGGAACCGTAATATGGCTATGACTACCTCAAAGTTCGCAGCAAATCCAATAAAGTTGGGTGTAATTTTATAGGTGTAATTAAAAGGTTTAAGAGTTGTAATTTTATAAATTTTAATATTTTATTGGTTAAAGTAAAATTTAAGAGTGTTACAAAATTAAAGTAACAAAGTTCAGGGTGAGTTTATGTACTCGCCACTTGAATAATAATATTATATTCACTTTTATATAGTTTTTCAAAATTGGCATAGCCAACTATAAGAATTAGCAAAGTTTTAAAAAATAAAATGAGCAAACGAATCGCTTACAAAATTCCTACACTGCATGCCATTATTAAATGGAACAATATTTAAAGGACCCATGCATATTGGATCCGAAGTCAGTAGCAAGGAGAACAAAGAAAAGGTTCGGAAATTTAAATTCAGGTTTGGTAGCATCTTGGCACTTTAGCTTCGGAAAGCCGTTAAAAGCTCCGAACCTTCACTCCTTATCGTCTTTGCCTTTGCTTTCTCTCTTTCGCTCTTTTTCTTTTTCTTTTTTCTCTCTTTCACTTCCCTCTTTCTCTCCTTCTTTCTCATCTTGAATCAAATCTTAACTTCACACTCAATTCTAACAAAAGATTCATCAGTTCTTGTATCCCTTCATTTCTCGATCTTGATTTTGAATTCTTTTTTTAAGCAAAAGGGTTTCTTCAATTGTTTCTTCAACAATTATCCTGTTCTTATTTGTGTTCAGCAAAATAACCCATTAGAGATTTTAGATAGAAAATCATGAAAGGTGAAAGAATGGCAAAAAGATCATCATTTGGAAGCATAGTAAGGAAAAGACTCTCTGATATTACAAATTCTCAGTCACAACCCAAATTGGTTACTGTAGAAGAAAAGCAGCCCTCAATTGCCAATTCTACAGAAGATTTGATTAATCAGCTTCTTATGGTACTAAAAATTATTTGTTTGGTCTAATTTTATATGAATTTTTCCCCTTTATTAGAAATAAATCAATTTCTTTGGCTTAAAAGGACTTGCTTTATTATTTTTTGTTTTGGTGCAGGAAAAAGCTACTCTGATGAAGCTTGTTGAGGACAGAGAGTATCCTTTTATAGTTTAATTTTCTTTTATATATAAGTTTTTTCTAGTTGTGTTGTGCCTATTCTGGACGGATTTGGGTTTTCTTGATTTTGATTGAACAGTAAAATTATAGCAGTCAGTAATAACCAACTGAGGAATCTGAAAACTCTTTATCAGAAACTGCAATTGCAAAATTGGAATCTTGCTCAATCAAACAGCCAGATGTTAGCTGTTAGTTTCTCCTTACGACTTAGTATTTAAATTTTTTTTTTGTATTTAAATTTTTTTTTTTATTCTTTTTCCAGGAATTAGTTTCATGGTTGGATATTGTTTATGTTATTTTGATTCCACAAGGAGGTTAATTTAGGAGAGAAAAGGCAAGTTTGTTCTAATTTTAAAAAAGGCAAGTTTGTTCTAATTTAAACTATTTGCTTGAATAACTAGAAGTCTTTTTTTTTTAGGATCTTATTATTATTTGGTGTCCAATTTGAGAAATGGCATTTTTGTCTCAGTTGAAGGCATTACAACATGAACTTGTATGCAAGGATGCATTACTTAAAGCCAAAAACATGAGACTACAGGTTATTTCTTGTTTTGCATTCTTTGATCTCAATTAATTCAATGCAATGAAAATTGTTGAATTTGACATTATGCAGAAAAACCAAGAATTTAAAACCATTTCCTGTGATACTTTTATATTTGAATAAATTAAGTAAATGATTACTATTTCAAGTATAATCATAACAGGACCAACAAATTCTTTTTAGTTCCTTAAAATAAGCTTGCAATAGGAATTTGGTTTTTGACATCCATTTCTGAACCAAAGAAAAGATAGTTTGAGTGAATTTTTAGCCCAGTTCAATTACAACTCATATTGCTGATTGAATAGTAAAATGAATTGTATATCTGAGTTAAAATATTAAAATTTCACTAAGTCAACATATCTCAGAGTAGACATTCAAGTAAACCAAAATTTTGTCTATTGCAATCAATTAACCTTTATTATGCAGGGAAAAGCAGATATCAGTAACAACAATCCAAATTCTGTGCCTCAGGTGAGTCTTTGGTTTCATGACACTATCAGAACCATTAAAAGTTATGCAATTTTCTGACTTGACCTTATCATACTTTGCTGGCTTAAGGAAGGAGAGAAGAATATAGCTAGAGATTGCATACAGAAAGCTAACAATGGTACCAAATCTGGCAATCGAATCAGAAGGCGTACAGCAAGAAGTCAATGTAGATATTTTCACCTAATCTGAATTTATTGTCTTTGTTTCTTGATAATGGTTACTCATATAAGACCATTTCAATTTACTTGCAGCTATAGCCCCTTCTACTACATGTAGACAAGGTATAGAAAAGGAGAAGCTTGAAAACAAACGGTAATTTTGCACTCTACTCTTTTCATGCCTGGCGAGGCAAGTTCTGAATGCATAATTCTGATTTTTGTTAGAGCACAAAACATATTTACCTCTTCAGTGACTATTACTTTGCAAAGTCTTAATGAAAACACAATGCAGGTTGATTTAGAAAGAAGAAAACAGTAACTCTTTTTGTGATTTTGTAATTTTAGCCCAAGTTTTTTGAAGCAATAGTTGTTTCAATCTGTAATTTTATCTGTGCAGGCGCTGTTTGAGAAGACAATCTGCTAGGTTCAAATCCCAAGAAAGGGAGCCTAAGGAGAACTTGTTTGAGATTGAAGATCTCAAGTTCTCAATCAGTCAGTCAGTTGATAATCCAATACAAGAAGATGGTCTGAAAAAAGAAACATTATGTGAGCTAAGAAATGAAGCGCCAAGATCTTCATTTGGAAGACCAGTACGTAGAGCTGCTGAGAAGGTGCAATCCTACAAAGAACTTCCACTTAATGTCAAAATGCGTAGGGAAGAATGAACAGAACTAATCTTGCAGTATATATAGACATTTTTAGTTTAAACTATATAAACATGTCATTTTTGTCATTTTTGTCATTTTAACAGAATGGTGAGTGTTGTTATGTCATTGTAAGTTAACAATTGTTGTAATGTAAAACAGCTTTTAATGATCATGGATTGATTTTTTTTTTTTTCCCCTTGCTGAAAAAATATATTTGTGCTCTTGGAAAGGGCAAAATTCTTGACATATATTGTATGCTTACTTCCTTGTTATTTTGTTTTCAGCTCAAACACAAGAATAGAATGGAAACAAAAGATTCATAAAACTTACCATATCCTAATAGAAACCAAAACAATGTCTCCCTCTGACAATGAACAATTCTAAAATTAAAAACCCAAAATTCAAGAAAACCAATTTCATCAAACGAAAATGACTTAAATCTCATAAACCCACTAGAGGAAATTCAAAAACACAAGCTATATGTCAATTTGAAACAATATAAAACGGTTTCTGTAGAGTGCCATCCAAAATCACCATCCATCATTAAACCCACCGTGAATTCTTTATGGTTAATTGAAAAATAGAAAAAACAAATTGTGATACGTGTAAACCAATCTTATAGGGTTTTGTATTCTTTTCTATTCTTCTTGTAAAACGATGCTGTGTCTTTTAGTGAAACGGTGTCGCATCTTCATATCAGCCGATCGGTAGAATGGCGGGGAAATTGATTAGCTGATTAGTTGAGCGGTTAGAGTCAATAAAGAAGCCAACGCTTGTAATCGTGGGTTCTGTGGAGCAATTGTATGAGAATCTTCTCAGTATTTCTCTTCTCTCTCTTCTTGAGTTTTCTTTTCCCTTTCTCTCTCTTCTCCTCTTCCCTCTCCACATCCTTGATTTCTTGAATTTAGAGTAACACTGGTATCAGAGCACTTTCCTGGCCATGACTGAGGTTTTCTTGGCCATGACTGAAGGTGTCTACAACTAGGTCCAAGAAGCTCCGAAGGAAAGAAAATTTGCGGGGATGGCTTCTGGAGTCAGAACAGAGGAACAGACATGAGTTCCTTGCGCTTTGCTGAGTTGGGAAATCTTATGGCAGCAAATTAACCACAATTCGGGCAAAATGGAGGGACCACCTCGATCGGGTAATAATTCTGAAACTCATCATTCAATTTTGTTAACCACAACTACCACCACTAGCTAAGCAATTGGGGACACGGATCAGAATTGATTTCTCCCTCGCTTCAATGGGGAAGGGTTAAGATGGGATGGCCCTTCCATGTGAATATTTTTGAGGTAACTCGAATTTAAATGCCCAAAGAATAGCGTCAAGATTGCTCGCCTTACATCTGTAAGACAAAGCAATTTCAGTGGCATCAGGGGTATGCGAAGCTTAAAGGAGCTGAGGCATATATGGATTGGAAGCTATGTAGAAGGGTTAATAGCTAGGTTTGGGAACTCAAGCTATTGATGATCCGATTGCAGACTTGAGGAACTTGAACAAGAAGATTCATTACAAGGATATTTGGACAGTTTTGATTGAACTGTACCTTCAGGCAGGATAACTGGGAAGTAAAGCCCTTAGTTTTTTCCTCTCAGGCCTTAAGGATGAAACTGCAGATGCCAATTTTAGGATGTTTAAACCAAAAACCTTTATCTGAAGGCATACTCATTAGCACGCTTGCAGGATATATCTGTAGCTGCTGTCCACAGAAGCCAAGAATTTAGCAACCCTCAACCTTCTCCTCCTACTTCAACACATGAAACCCCGACATCAAACAAAACAAATTCACGCAGTTCTTCAACCCAGATTCACAGCCATTTCGATTCCACCACCACGACCCCCCAAATCAGAAATCATTTACCAGCTCTGCTTTCCTGAACCCCCAACATCAAGACTTACCCTATTATTAACATACCCCTTTACACTAACCGAGTAAGGAGATGGATGAAAAAAAGGGCTAAAAATTAATGCTTCTGGTGTAATGAAAAGGTTCTTTCCTGGCCATAAGCTGTTCCAAGAACATGTATATGTGTTGCAATTAAAAGAGGTTTGATTTTAGAGAAAAATCAGGAATCATAGATTGGGGAGACTGAAACTGAGTTCGGATGGTACTGACAGTAGTTAGTTGAAGGTCAGCTATCCTTTACATGCCTTATGGCCATGGTATAAACCAAACAATGATGGTGAGAGGGTAAGTGGGAAGAAATGGCTGCCATATACTCATTGATACTGGTGGCACCCATAATTTTCTTAATGAAAGATTGGTGCAGCAACTGCAGAATGTCAGTTTAAGGAAAGTTACAGGTATTTGGGTGGAGAATTGCAATGGAACTGAGCTTAAGTGTGATTAGTATGTGCCAAAGGGTTTGAGTTGGTTATGCAGGGCAAGCATTTAAGGGCTAATTGTGTATGTTGTTACCTGAAGCTTATGACCTCATACTTTGGGATACCAATGGCTTCAAGACTTTGGGAGATATTAATTGGAACTTCTTTTGAACTTGACCTTTGAAGCTTTTCAATTGCACGCCAAACCAATACATTTGCTCAAGGGTGAGGGAATTCCACACCCCTCGCTAATAAACTTAATTGTTCTTGTCTCAAAGGAAGGATTGCAAACTGGATGGTGTAGCCTAAGCTATTTGAGGCCAAAACCAAGACCAAGCTTCTTTAATCTGCAGTTAACAGGCACAACCCTGTGGGAAGGATCTTGAAGTCTTATTGGACACCTTTCTAGAGTTGTTTCAAGGAACCAAGACCCTATCTCCCAAAAAGAACACATGACCCATCGCATTTAAACTTTAAGTCTGGATCCCAACCCACTAACATCAGACCCTACAGGTATGGCAGTAGAATAGAAAAATGCAATTGAGAGTATGATTTGGAGAATATTTTCAGAATAAATTATAAGGCCTAGTTCATATCCCTTATGCCAAGCTTATTGCATTGGGGTAAAAAAGAAAGACAATACATGGAGAAGTGTATGACTATAGGAATTTGATGCTATTTACCATTAAAGACAAATTTCCAATACCCCTAATGGAGAAATCATTGGAAGAGTTTAGGAGGTGCAGTTGATTGTTTCAAAAATAGACCCTCAGCTCTGGTTACTGGCAATCAGTTATGTATGAACGATGACATTCCCAAGGACAACTTTTTTAGGACTCAGAGGGGCAGACTCATGAGGGGCATTATGAGTTCCTAGTTATGCCTTTTGGCCTCACTAATGCTCCTGCTACCTTCCAGTGACTCATGAATGCAATTTTTAAGCCTGTCCTTAGGAAGTTTGTGTTGGTGTTTTTTGATGACATCCTAGTGTATAGTCAGTCTAGGGAAGAGCATCTTCAACATCTGGCTTGGGTATTTATGGCTATGAGAACCCACACACTCCTTGCCAAGAAAAGTGAATGCTCATGTGGAGCTGCTCAGGTGGAGTATCTTGGCCAAGTAATATCAGCTCATAGAGCGCACAATGACTCAGCCAAGATTTCAGCAGTTAAGGATTGGCCAGAACCCCAAACAGTGAAGCAATGTAGAAGTTTTTTGGGTCTCACAGGGTACTACAGACCTTTTGTAGCTGGATATGGAACCATAGCTCGACCTCTTAGAGACCTGCTTAAGCTTGGCAACTTCCACTGGACAGCAAAAGCACAAACTGCTTTTCATGCCTTGAAGCAGGCCAAGATTCAGGCCCCCTATTCTTGCCTTGCAAAACTTTTCCAAAACTTTTATTGTACAAACAGATGCCAGCAGTCATGGAATAGGTGCTGTCCTTATGCAAGATGGACATCCTCTAGCCTATATCAGCAGGACACTTCTCCAAAGTTCTACTTATGAGAGAGAAATGCTTTTTCTTGATATCACTTTGAAATGTTTGAGCATTTTTGGATTTGTTTACATTTTTATTGATTCTGTAAATTGCTGTATAGCAAATTGAAGGTTGGGAATCCTTGTCATAGTGTTCTTTAATATATTTACTAAAAAAATTTTAGAAATCTTCAAGTAATTTAAGCATGGATTTTCAAATGAAACACTGATGGATTTTTGTTGAACACCAATAGAAATCTTCAAGTAATTTAAGCATGGATTTTCAAATGAAACACTGATGGATTTTTGTTGAACACCAATACGTCTCTATTCAGTATATTTACTAAAAAAATTTCAGAATTTACTACAAAAGTTTAAAGATCTTGAAGTAATTTAAGCATAGATTTTCAGATGGGACTCTAATGGATTTTTTTTGAACACCTATATCTATGTACCTATAGAATATTGGACATGATGTGTAATTCTTATATCCATCTGCAGGATTAACTGAGGAGCTTTTTTCAAATAAGCAATGAAAAGAAAATGAATAAAAGTATCCTTTTAATTTTATTTTCTATTTTTTTTTCTTCCCCTGTTTGGTTTCTGAGAAAATGTCAGAGAGTTTGAGAAATGAATTAAAGACATAAGACCACAGAAGGCTCTATATCGGAGTCCAGGCAGTGCCCTTCAGCTGATTAACCTTTTTTAAAAGGTCTGTTTATGTATATTGATTATTTGTTTTTAACTTACAACAATTTGACTTTCTTTTTAACTTACAACAATTTGACTTTCAGAGAACCCACTACCTTTACATTAGCATTAACATTTTGATGATCCAACTATGTGACAAGTTGGTAAGATGATTCTCTTTATCGTCTGTTCCTTCAAAAGCAGGTGGGATTTAAAATAAGCCTTTATGGTTAATGTTAACCTCTGGTGAAAGAATCCTCCCATTTTAATGAAGATTTATCAGATTTATTTTACAATTACATTCAAATTGTTTCTACAGTTATCTCCAATCTCCAAGACGATTGGGTTCTGCAAGTGTCTCAGCACGATTTCAAAGAGAACATGTGAAACTTCCCCCAACTTCGAGTCGGGCAATGATGGGTTAGTAAACTTCGAGAACACAAGGACATTCTGCTGGCGGAGAGTAGATTCTGCTATTCCTTCAATACCTCAAATTGAAAATAGAGAATTCTGTGAAAGTGACAGTAATGTTTCTTCTTCTACTTCTTTGGTTTCTAACTCCACTTCAACTGAACATATGTATAGAGGGGAACCGATAATGGCATTAACTGTGGGTGAAGAAATGATAGACAAGAATGCAAATCCTAGCTCAATGAGCGAGCATTTAAACCAAACTCTTAGTTTTGGCCTGTCGGAAGTGGTTGGCATGTCGGCTGAGAAGGATTCTAATCTAGATGGGGCAGAATCTTCTGCCTTACCCTTTGTCAGAATCTTGGGATAGAGTGAAGGAGGCATTTGCACCTACACTTACGAGTATCATTAAGAACTATGGAGATATAGCTGCAAATTGTTTTATGAAAACACCAGAAGGTCGTTCCTTGGCATTGGAGAATCTTTCTGGATTAATTCAAACATTTCAAGCAGAAAAATTTTGTGAGCTTCCTCAACTTGAAATTCAAAAGGCAATTGCTCTAGTTGATGATTTTTGTGAGTTCCTCAACTTGAAATTTCCAAAGGCAATTGCTCTTAGTTGATCAAAAGGCAATTGCTCTAGTTGATGATTTCAGAATTGCAGGTTTGGACGTTGATTGGCTGCAGGAAAGGTTGAATGACATGTTGGACGCGAAACAATTGATTGGACAGTCTTCAACCTTAAAGGAGAGGATTGATAAAAGTAATCAAGTCATCAAGGAGAAGAAGAGAGAGTTACAAGTTTATGAACCACAACTATCGTGCTTCGAGAAAAAGTGAATTTAACAAAGAAGAAACTGGCTGCAGGACAAGCTGAGGTTGAAACTATACGAGAAAAAATCTCAAACACTAAAGGCTAAAGTGAGATACTTTGTTGATCATTCACCATTTGATGGCCTCTTCTGATTTATATATTTTCCCTTATATGCACACTAGTAAAACAGAGATATTCCATACTTATCTACTCTGAGATGAACTTGAAATGCACTTCTATTTTGGAATATTTCTATTAACAAGTTATTTTTGAGACCTTTTCTGGAACCGTGTAGAACATAAATTTGAAGGATTAAGATTTTTCTAGCCAAAGGAATTTTGCTATGCTAGTGTAAATTTTATGTTTTCATGCTTTGTTCATTTAACTCCCACTGGTTCAATTTTATAGAATTCAACCACCATAATCATACCTTCCAACCACCATATATCATACGCAAATTCATTCATTTATAAATATATTTACATTTCAAATTCTTTATTGTTGAAAATTGCAAAATCCTATGAACCTACATTTGAAAGTAATAGGATTTTTGATTCAAAATAGATTTTTAAATGTAAATAATATTTATAAATGGATTGAATTTGGGTATGGTATGATTATGGTGGTTGAATTCTATAAAATTGAACCAGTGGGAGTTAAATGAACAAAGCATGAAAACATAAAATTTACACTAGCATAGCAAAATTCCTTTGGCTAGAAAAATCTTAATCCTTCAAATTTATGTTCTACACGGTTCCAGAAAAGGTCTCAAAAATAACTTGTTAATAGAAATATTCCAAAATAGAAGTGCATTTCAAGTTCATCTCAGAGTAGATAAGTATGGAATATCTCTGTTTTACTAGTGTGCATATAAGGGAAAATATATAAATCAGAAGAGGCCATCAAATGGTGAATGATCAACAAAGTATCTCACTTTAGCCTTTAGTGTTTGAGATTTTTTCTCGTATAGTTTCAACCTCAGCTTGTCCTGCAGCCAGTTTCTTCTTTGTTAAATTCACTTTTTCTCGAAGCACGATAGTTGTGGTTCATAAACTTGTAACTCTCTCTTCTTCTCCTTGATGACTTGATTACTTTTATCAATCCTCTCCTTTAAGGTTGAAGACTGTCCAATCAATTGTTTCGCGTCCAACATGTCATTCAACCTTTCCTGCAGCCAATCAACGTCCAAACCTGCAATTCTGAAATCATCAACTAGAGCAATTGCCTTTTGAGGTGCATCTAGCATTTCCTATTGTGTGGCTTCCTGCCAGAATTTCAAGAAACACTTAATCAGGTTTTCTTCGAGAGGGGGAAAAAAAGAAAAGAAAAAGAACCCACAAACACAAACTTTTGGTTCTTGATTCAACATAAAATAAACTGAATTTTTGAAAGAAAGCCAAACTGAACTGAACCAAATTTTATAGAAAATCGATCCGAACCAAACTGAAGTTCTAGCACAGGAATTATTGCAATCAAAGTAGGAAAAGAAAAAGATCAATGTTTTATATTTTCCAGTCATATTCTATATTAAAAATCATATTTAAAATGTTAGCATTAATAATTATTACATTTATTTAATGTTTTTCTTAACAGAATTTGATCAAAACTGTTAATATTTTTCTTACCAGATAGAGCTACGAGATCAACAATATCAAGACCCTGAAGCTTGAATTTAGTAAGAATAGTTTGAAATGTGTTATTTGGAGCAGGAATGTTATTGTTAGATCCACTCAAGCTTGCTCCTTTAGAGTCTCTATTGTTAGATCCACTCAAGCTTGCTCCTTTCGAGTCTCTTCTTCCCAAAGGAACTTTCCAAGTGGGCCCTCCAGTCTGTGTAGAGAAAAAGTAATAATGAAAATGGGGTCAGCTCAGGATTTTGGCTTACTATGAATGGTTTAAGAAGTAATAATAAAACTTACAAGAACAGTGGAGTCTCTAGCAGCCAAGGCCAAAATATCAGCACAAGACACAGTTTTAGGACACTCTTTTTCAAGTGCAGATTTAATTTCATCAATCACTTCAAATCCTCTTGCTGAGTTTCTGTTTGGATTAGACCTCTTCTCACTAATTATGCTTCCACTGTTGTCTAACAATATCGATGCATCACAACCCTGCAATTACAAGTTCTTTATATTTGTTAATTGCAAAAATAGAAATTGCCACATTTTGACACTAGTTAATTAGGTCTACATTTTAAGCTAAAGCAACTTTTTTTTTTTTTTTTTTTAAAAAAGGAAAATCAAGAGGAGAGATAATATGAACCGAGGACTTAAAACATCTAATTTTATGCTGTATGAGTTTATATTTATATCATAATACAAATATGCTGACATGAAACCTATTTATAATGTATCATTGACACACGAACATGACAATTGGATGACTTAGGGTTTATTCTGTAAAATTAGCTATTTCAGTAGCGTATGTTAGAGTAATTTTTCATAAAATGCTAAAAGTTAAACATTACATGAATTAACCTTTTATAAAACGCTATCTTAACTTTTAAAAACTAATTCAAACAATAGGTTACCGAACACTGTAAAAAATAGTGTTTAGCGTTTTGACTAACTACTTAAAAAGTTGTTGTCGAACACAGCATTAGTGTTAGCACAGTGGAAAAGCCATTAACTATACAAATAATGAGTGATAGGTAAACAAGTAACAGACCTTGACAAAACAGTCATGAAAATGAAGCCTAAGTAATGAGGCTGCCATGCGAGCTTCTTCAGCAACAGCCTTAGCTACAACGGATTTGACAATCTGTTGAGCATTTGGGCATGAATGGTCATAAAATTGTGGGTAGAGATAACCTCTAGAAGAACTCTTGGCGCAAGAACAAAGAGGAGCAAAGGCCACAAGAGCAAGAACATAAAGAAAGCTTATAATGCACTGAGCCAACAAGAGCAAGAACATAAAGAAAGCTTATAATGCACTGAGCCATTATAATTAGTCTTCTCTTTTTTCACTTTCAAGAACAAGAAGAGCAAATTTCAGAACTTGGTGTTGAGAAATTAGAGAATTTTAGAGGTATTTATAGAGAGAAATTTAGTGGATACAGACTTGAGCTAATAAAGGAAGGGAGCAAAAAAGTTGGAGTTGGTAACTTACTAGCTTTTGTAGTATTTTGTATTGCAATAAATAAATAAGTAAAAAGAAAAAAGATTGGAGTTGTTAGAATAGATACTCATTCTTGAGGCTGACTTGTTCATTTCATGTTAGTACATAAGTTCATGTTAGTACATAAGTTTGTATTGTACATACACATGTAGTGAGAGTCAACAACAAATTATATTTATTATAGAGTGACAAATTTAATAATTCTTCTCTCCCAAAATTATACCGAGCACGTTTTTTCACACGGTTTAAGAATAGTTTGTTAAATTAGTTTAACTACTCCTTACGCCCATAAATATAAAGTTTTCAAGATGTTTACATGATGAGTAAAAAACAATTAACTCTCTTAAATTATAACAAAATTTTCATTAATTTGACTAATTATCTTTTATCTCATATCATTATTAATGTGTTTAATATATATAAAAATGTAAAATTGAAAACAAAATTTTCATTAATTTGACTAATTATCTTTTATCTCATATCATTATTAATGTGTTTAATATATATAAAAATGTAAAATTGAAAAAATTCATTAATTATTTTTTAATATTTTCAAAACAATTTATATTTATTGACAAAAAAAACTCTAAAACAAGTTATATTTATGAATAAAAGAGTATAATATTTTTTCTTACTTTAAAGATTGTATATTAATGCTTTCTTAAAGAATTTCAAAATAGTATGAATGGTTAACATATTAAAATTTTAGAAGATGTTTTAACACTATCTAGTAAATTCAACCAATAATAATTCTTTGTTTCAAAAAAATAAATTCTATAAAATTTTATGGAGTTTATTTATAAATCTAAATTCTATATTTGGTGAGAAAAAAGGTGAAGAATTCAATATAAACTCAATTCTACAAATTCAACTCTATATATTTGAATATAATTAAATCAAATTTTACAAAAAACGATATAATTTCCAAATGAAATCCACAGACTTAAACAACCAAAACTTTATAACAAAACTCTTCATCCTCCTAATCATCTAAAATTATTTATGTCAAGGGTATTTTAGGAAAAAAAATAAACTTTCAATTTTTAAATTTATTTCAAACATTAAAAATTTATTTATAAATTAATTCCATATTTTGAGTTCATTTATACCAAACCAAGGGTATTTTAGGAAAAAAAATAAACTTTCAATTTTTAAATTTATTTCAAACATTAAAAATTTATTTATAAATTAATTCCATATTTTGAGTTCATTTATACCAAACCAAACATAATTATTGACACAGACTATTTAAAATGATATTATGAAAGTGAAAAAAAAAATTCTTAAAATACTAGTAAGACCATTATTTTGGAACACCCAAAAAAAATTTGAAACTATACGAGTATACGTTTGTAGATAATATTTTTATTTCCATTTCGAAGGGAGAAAAGAACTTGATTGAAGGTTTGTGGAGTAGAAAAGGTTTATCAAATTGAGCCTATTTTTTATTTTATATAGATTTTGAGATTTGTAATACCATTTTAGCAGAGTTATGTTTTTGATTTATTGCGTTTTCTCTCTTTTTATCCTTATTGTTGAAGAATTTTTTATTTTTCTCTCTTTTTATCCTTATTGTTGAAGAATTTTTTATTTTTCATAGAGTCGATACTGATCGTTGATTCTTTATAGTTAAAGATTTTATATCTTCAAATTTAAAATAAGTTTTTTTACCGAGGGAACTTAACAGTGAGATTTATTTTTGTATTAATATTTGGTATTTTAGATTCTTTTATGATGTTAAGCAAAATGATAAAATTTCAAATGCGATTCTATTTGAAAATAAATAAATTTCACGTGAAAGATTATTTTGATTTTCTATATTTTTATTTTTATTTCTCAAAAATATTGTGACCATATTATATTATTTAGTAATGAAATGAGAATTTTTCTTTTTTTTTTTTTTAAGAAAATGGTGAGTGAGCCATCATCATCACCGGACTTGTCTATCTACCAAATCATGTACTTATAATCATGTACTTAAAAATTAAAAATTATTATTCCAGTACCTAATTCAAATTTTTTTTTTTTTTGGAATAATTCCTAAGTCAACCTAAAAACTCAATAAAAATGAAATTTAATATCTCTATAAATATTTATATATAAGACAAATATTGGTAAAATATAGAAGTGGACTCACCTGCTTCTTTGACGTATAACATATAGGATGATGTCAACATTATCGACCAATAATAAATAAAGACAAGGATGACGGTGCGAGTCAGCAATCTATGAGACTCTGACTTTGAGACAGCTTGAGATTGGAACATTCAAACGTCCACTTACAACGTTATTTTCATGTATGGTACATATATTATAAAATAACAAATAATATAAAGGAATTAATTAGGGATTTTAACCGGAATAGGTGTTACCTGTTTCTATTTAATGATTCCAATTAGTCTTTTGGTAACAAATAGCAAAATTTCAATTAATTAGGGTTAATTAGGAATTCTAATACTTTTTGAGAATAAAGTAGCAAAACTAGTAACAAAGGAATTAATTAGGGATTCTAATATTGGGAAGGTCATAATTAGAATTATTTATTACTCTCTATCTCTGAATTTTTATATCTGTCATTTATAGTTTTTGCATAAAGTAATAATTATTTATTACACTACTAGGCTCCATTGAGAAAAGAAACTTACCTGAATTGAAGATATGAAGTCTCAAACTACACACAACCAATAATCCATCTTATATTTGGAATTATCAGCGAAATAAAAGATCCACATAAAAAATCTTCAATAATGAAGAATAACCCATGAAAGGAGAGAAATTAATAATCCCACTAAGAGGTACCAAAAACACTCAAGATCTATCAATTATTATAAATCAAAAACACTCAAGATCTATCAATTATTATAAATCTGAGAGTAAATTTAAAATTTGTTCAAAATGATTATAGATTTAAAAATTATTAGAAAGAAAACTAAATAAAATAAAATAAAATAAAATAATAGACAGAGATGAAAAGAAATCACCGATGGCGTAGGTTTAGAGACAATTTAGAATAACACAAAAAAAGAGAGAGAGAGACGGCTAGGATTTTTTTTTTTTTTTTACACACTATACTGTTCTTCTTAGGAAGATAGTAATTCACTTGGTTTAAATAAGGGAAGATAGTAATTCACTTGGTTTAAATAAGTTTAAGATAGAGTTTAAGTTTAAGTTTAACTTTGACTATTAATATTACTAGTGATAGAATGGTAAATCAAAAAAGAAGATATTTAATGAAGCATTGGAATTGGAATCATAAAATGTCACTTACTTAGAAAAAAAAAATCTAAAACGACATGTATTAAAAAAAAAAGAGGAAGTATTATATTATTTAATTTAAGAATGTTGGGAATAAAAATCTCATATTCAAGTAAGTCCTAGTTAAAGAAATTATCGAATTTAACCAATCTATAAAAACCGTAAAATATATAAATAAAATTAACTTTTTTTTGCCAACCTACTACATTAGAACTAAATTCTACTAGCATCGGGTCGGCTTATTAATTAAAGGGTAAAAATGCTCATAAGGATCGAACTCCTGGTCTCATTTAAAGCAGAAGAGTGTCAAATCACTCATCCCAACACTCATTTACATAAAACTAACTTTATTTCATAACCTGTAATGTTTTAATATATTTGATCCTTAATATTATCGCTGTTATGAAATTCGAGACTGTTTCAATCAATATGTTATCACTCAACTGATAACTCTCGTGCATGTAACGATGGATCCAAAATTTAAAGTTAGAGGGAACGATGGATCCAAAATTTAAAGTTAGAGGATTAAAAAGAAATTTCAAAAAGATTAAGATATATTAACTAAAAAAGAAATTTTCAAAGTTTTCTAATTTTAGAATTGAGGGGGTCCCTCAATGTTAGATGGTATTAATAACTATTGTTATGCACTATTAGTTCTATTATTATGTTGAGGGTTTGACATGATCTTAATGGCATAAAATGCTCTTTTCGCAAGTGCAGTGCAGAGGAAGATGATCCAAAATAGGAAGGTAAAGGGTAGGAGTTAGGACAACTACTCAAAAAGTTCCTAATTCTTCAAACTCAAACTATACCTTATGTATTAATATTCTGCTTTTGCAATAAGAGACTATCCTTTCTCTTGTCCTTTTATGGCTAGCTTAGGCCTTGCTTTTTGACCAAGTATAACCATTTTTTTTTTTTCCATGAGCGTTTGGCATTGGTTAAGTGAGAAAAAATCAATAATTATTTTCAAAATCAATAATTATTTTCAAATAAATGATTCTCATTCTACGGCTAGATTTTAGAAATAATGTACTTCCTTCTCATATCATTATTTTTTTTCCTTTTGAAAAAAAAAAAATTAAGAATTGTAAGCCGTAACCCTAGTCCCTCCTCCTTCTCTCGTATCTCTTCAGTCTTCTAACCCTAATTTTAGTTTGGACTAATATCTTCTAATCTTTCTTTCGCTATCTATTTTTGCTTTTAATTTTTTATTCACTTTAATAAACTTAGATCTATTTTTTTATAACAAATTTCTCTTTTTTGTCTTTCTTATTGTTGTTTTGTCTCCATATTTGAATTTTTTTTTTTTTTTTTTTTTTTGAATTTTTTTTTTTTTTTTTTTTTTGTCTTTTTTTTTTTTTTTTTTTTGTCCTTGCTTTGTGAGGGTTTAAATAAAAATATGATATTTGGCTTTATTTAGTTGAAAAATTCAGATCTTGATTCGCATATGAGAAGACTAATAGAATCTGGTAGTGCGGTATATTCTTCTATTGATGCTATTGGCACATAGTGGCAGAAGCTCATATGTGTTCGTCATA